GGCAGAAAGCCTTCGTCAGCGAACAAAACAACAGAAAAACCGGTATAAAAATAAAAATAAGAAATAGCACTTAGCTGGTAAGTAGTATCTGTGGGCACACTTCTATTGCTGCTTATATACTACTTTAAGACGACCGAGCATTTACAACTCCGGGAATTTTCGAAAACAATAAAATAACACAACAGTGGTACATCGGAAAGGACTATAACTATAGAGTCATAGAATGCCAGTGGGCAACGCGCTATCTTGCATGTAAAATGTAGATATTTTTAATACTGTATCAGTTTCAAATTCGTATTTTTAATGATTTTTTAAAGTGTAAATGTATATATTAAATCCCCGAGCCATGAGTTCATTTAAGGATCGTAGTGACCAACTTACTAACAGCCCTCATTGAAGCAACTTCGGAATGAACATTTCGAACAAGTGCATTTTTTTCGTAAGAGTGTCTGTCAATGAAATGGATGTCTGTGAGGTGTCTGTCAATGAAATGCGTGTCTGTGAGGTGTCTGTCAATGAAATGTATGTCTGTCAGGTGTCTGTCAATGACATGGATGTCTGTGAGGTGTCTGTCAATGACATGGATGTCTGTGAGCTGCCTAAGAATGAAATGGATGTCTGTGAGGTGCCTGTCAATGATACGGATGTCTGTGAAGTGTCTTTCGATTAAATGGCTGTCTATGAAGTATCTATTAATGAAATGAATGTTGATGAGGTGTCTGTCAATGACATGAACGTCTGTGAAGTGTCTATCAATGAAATGGATGTCGATAAAATGTATGTCAATAAAATGGATGTTAATAAAATGTCTATCAATAAAATGGATGTTGATAAAATGGCTATCAATGACATGGTTTTTGATAAAATGGCTATCAATGAAATGGATGTTGATAAAGGGGCTCGCAATGAAATGGATGTTGATAAAATGACTAGCAATGAAATGGATGTTGATAAAATGGCTATCAATGAAATGGATGTTGATAAAACGGCTATCACTGAAATGGATGTTGATAAAAGGGCTAGCAATAAAATGGATGTTGATAAAATAGCTATCAATGAAATGGATGTTGATAAAATGGCTATCAATGAAATGGATGTTGATAAAATGTTACGAATATGTAATGAGTAAAAAACGGAGTCGGTGTATTTGACATTTTCTTGAATGGCTTATGATGCTGATTTTGGAATTCAGTTTCGGCTGCACTTCTAACAGGAGAACCTTGAAAGTTGGTCTACTTTGTGATGCTGCAAGTGCATCGTTTCACGCATCTTCTTCCTATTATTCTACCCAATAAATTACTGTTTTCCAGCCGGAAAGGTGATGTCCCATTCTCCAATTTAGATGTTGGCCTCCCTCATATTACCTCTCTGCATGCACCATCCCGCATCAGTAGATGCCCATTATGTATCCCCCCCCCAACCGCAACACTTCAGAGTTATTTCCATTTACGAAGTTTCTCCTTTCTCCTGTAATGTCCTTACCAGCGAAGGCGCCTCTTCACGCTGCTTATTTTGGTACGAAACCTCTTTCTTAGGAACTTCGTCTCGCCGTCAAATGCAGCGAAAGGCTTTAATTGTTTAAGTACAAAAAAAAAAAGGGTACAAATAAAGCAATTTCACCCTACTTGATTATCCTTACCCCTATGACACAACTGTTGTATGACATCTGAAGGAGTAAAATGGTGTGGTTTCGTTGTAAGTTGTGAAACCAGTTGGCCTGGGCGGGGTATTACATAGAGTTATCGCAACAAATCTTCCAATACATACAAGGATGCGGCGCTATGTGGCTGTTTTCATTTGGTAATCTGAACCCACCAGACACGTAGGGACAAGCAGGTGATGATTCACACGGGAGTTATCAACCAATTTAAGTCATTTCCCCACAAAGAGCCATAATGGAAAAGGGGGTGGGGGTGGGGGGAGGGATAGCCCGGGATAAAAAAAAATGGTTTGATGTATTAGCTGGTTTCTATCATTTTCGTTATAGAAGATTTATTTTTTCTTAATATTGTAATTATTATATAAAATCTTAATAAAATATTTTTATTAAAGTTGTTGCTTGATTAAACAAAGATTTATTTGTTCTTTCTTTTCTATATTAGTTATGATATAAAATCTTAATAAAATATTTTATTAAAGTTGTTGTTGCTTGATTATCCAGTGATATTTGATCGTGATAAAAAAGCCATTGCAACAAAAGTATCCTTACGGAGGGCCAAACTTAACCAGGAGTCAAGACTCGCGGGCCGAGACTGACATTCCAATATCAGCCTCGTAAAACATTTGATGAAATGACAATATCTACCCCATCGTCTCGCGAAAGGTATTGTAGATTTTGGGCCTTTAAAATTAGCGCTGTATATCATAAAACAAGGTAGCTTTTGTTCCCGTCCCGTTATACCAAGGAGACGATTGGTGTAGGTTTTCCCGTGAAACAGAGACTTGGTTCCTAGTCAGCAGTAACCCTTGCTGTACCACCCCAAACCGCCTGCCTTTTCTCCATGTAGCTGTGCAAACCAAGGGTACATCGCTGGAGTTTCCGGAATTTTCTTTGAGCCACTATGATCTAAATATAAATATGTTTTGCTTGCTATCAGTTCCCTTCTCTTAGATGCGCCCCATTTCATGTTGACACGGTGCTGGTATTTTCTTTTTTGCTGCTCTCTGTTTTGGCTGAACTCCAACCCATGAGTTTTGTTAAGTCCCATTCTCTAGTATTGACACATCAAGTCCCCAGAAAAAAAAAATGTTGAAACTGCCTCCTGAAACTTCCACATCAACCTTGGTTAGCGTCCATCATGTCAATCTTCTCTGTATCATTCCGATTTCAGAGAATGTAGTTCGTGAAGTCTACAACATGCCACAGGGCACATAGGATTCTTTTCAAACTTAGTTGCAATAAATGTGTCAAATCTAGGTCAAGCAGAAATGATATATTAGTTTTCGACCTATTTTAAACATTTAGCGTGCACTTTTAAATAAAAATGTCTTAAGTTGTATTTAGATATTGGGGAGTAAAGGGTGAGCCCACAAGGGAAACGTTCCAACAAGGCATTTAATCGGGCTGTGTGTCCTCAGTGGCTTCTCGGACAGGAAATACAGTTACGTAAATCGATCCCTTTTTTTGCTCCGGTTACACCGTTGTATCTTTTCTGATCAATTGATAAGTGTTTGGACCATCAATCAGACGCAGGTTAGTGGTCTTGATTACAGCTGATGATGAAAATTTAATGGTGAAAAAATCTGTTCATCATCCAAAAATGAAATTATTCATCTTATTGAAGTCGGAGGTCAAAGGCAGTTATTTCATCTTCATGACCCCAGTAAGGATGGGGGCAGCCTGCATTCTTTCTTAATCGGCGACCCCTTGGTGGCCAGTGCGCATTAAATTACTACCTGAAACCTTGGTGGCCAGTGCGCATTAAATTACTACCTGAAACCTTGGTGGCCAGTGCGCATTAAATTACTACCTGAAACCTTGGTGGCCAGTGCGTATTAAATTACTTCCTGAAACTGCTCGAGATGTTCAGATGATCTTCTTGTTTCCTGTATGAAAAACAGGTCGGGGAACTCATTTTAGGGAAAGAGAGGACGTAGGAATATGCCCCCCACCCCCCCCCCCCCCCCCCCCAACACTTCGACAGCCTAGGAATAAACTGACAAAATGTTATTCTAATTGCCGGCTTGACCGATTTCCTCTATCAGCACCATCTAATTTTGCCCCCCCCCCTGGCATTTGCCTATGCCCCCACTCACAATGCCCTACCCCCAGCAATCACATCTCGGAGGGACCACACTGACATTAACCTTTGCGCTATTTGATCCAGTAGGCTGTGTGAGCAATGCATAACAATGTCATGACGTCTATCAGCATCACAGCCGGTGCGTTCATTACTTGTCACAGCTTTCCTCTCAGCGATTGCATCGTCCATCGTCCACCATTCGGAATAAATATTATAATTGTAATCTCTTTTTCTGGATACCATTCAAGGCTATTTAACGACAACAAAAAAGACACAACTAAACAGACAGACAAACAAGCTAAAAAATAAATAAACAAACAAACAAATAAAAGAACAACAAACAAGCCAAGACTAAAGACAACCCTTTATGCTAAACAGACGGATGGACGTTCACTATCAAAAGAATGGTTTAATAATCAGCAGAAAATGTACGTGATTGTCAGAGCCTAAACTATGCATATCGGCGCCCTAGTCGACCTTTTAATCTTGCCCCCTCCCCGCACCCAAAGGCAAAACATAACAGATTTTCGCTTATAATGGCGCCCCCCGTGGTTGTCTTGTCGCCCTTCTACCGGGGCAGCTGCTCATGCCATCCACCCTTCGTTTTGGGTTTGGTGAGTATGCCATTTACCTGTGTTTTTTCTCCTAGTAATGAGGAATTTTTTTTCATTGTTTTTTTTTTTTTTTTTAAATTTTGTTTACTCTTGGAAATCCAGCTGACCATTTTTTTTCATTGTTTTTTTTTTTTTTTAAATTTTGTTTACTCCTGGAAATCCAGCTGACCGAAGCTTCATTAGTTACTGGCAACGTAATGAATCCAAGAATAAACGATTATGAACACAATCCTATATATTGTTAAACATTCTTAGCTTGGGAAGACTTGGAAAAGGGACCGAATACAGGAAGATTTTTGATGATACTGGATAAAGCCGAAGAGATTCAGAAAAAACGGAAATAAGTAGAGAGTTGTTTTGTAATTAGTCATTTTGTAATGAGCCATTTTGTAATGAGTCATTTAGTAGTTAGTCGCCCTTTCAGCTTTTATTTCTTGCACGACATAATCTTCCATATTGAAATGTCCTTATTGCATTTCACCTAGCTTTAAAATAAAATTTTTGAACGTTGACGTGATACCATTAAAGAAAGAAGAGAGATGTACTTTGTGTCCAAGCTTTGACTGAAACACATAACTATTGTTGAAATACGATGAAACTGCACTTTTCTCTATTAAATAGAAGATTTGTAAGAAGTGATTTTCTAACCTAAGCATCAAATAGATGTAAATAACAACATCACCTAAGTCCACTACATGGCATGGTAACATCGGGTGCGCAAAGATCAGAACACGTCACGGGCGTGGCGCAGCAGCTGGCGATCTTTCGACTGAACATAATTGGGGGAAATAACGTTGGCACAATTACGCACTATTAGAGAGGACTCGAGTAATTACTGAGACAATTTAACGGTGCGAATAATTACCCGTCCCTACACTATAAAAATGAGTTCACGAAAACCGTTATCTAAAACCAGTCCAAGGCCGCTACACGAACTTGTTGTTTACCGACCACAGCAGCTAGAGAGTAAGGTATGTGTCACTTTCATGTCTTTGTTGTGGTTTGAAGTTTCATAATTTTCTTGAAATATAAGTACATTTTGTAGAGAAGGCCTGCATAACTCACAATGTAAGGCGGGCATCTTGTAGAGCAGGCCTGCATAACTCACAATGTAAGGCGGGCCTGCATAACTCACAATGTAAGGCGGGCCTGCATAACTCACAATGTAAGGCGGGCCTGCATAAATCACAGAGTAAGGCGGGCCTGCATAACTCACAATGTAAGGCGGGCCGTAATACTCAATGAAAAACTCGTGCGGGCCAACTAAAATAGGACAGGACTTTTGAGGGCCAAAAGAAATTGGAACAGTGGGGAAAGCCCTAAGAGAATGATAAAAAATAATATTTTTTTTACTACGCGGGCCACAAAGTGAGTGCTGCCGGGCCTCATGTGGCCTGTTGTAGAGAACACATCTTGAAATTAATTTATGTTATTTGTGGCTGAAATTTTTATTTAAAATATAAATTTTAGAGCTTTAAAAACAGATAAAATTGAAATTAAATTGTGAAATCTTAAAGGATATATTTTTGATCATGTAATTATTTCTTTAAAAAATGTAATGTCAATACAAAATTGTCTTCCTATGTAATCTAAAACTCGTTCACCTTCCTATATTTTCTAAAGCTCTACACCAACGGGACGCTTAACATGTCAAATATATTCAAGGGGATTTATTTTGGGTTGCAAATTAACATATTATGAAATTTAGATGTACCGTACATACCACTTTAAATAAAATAACTCGAAAAAGTTTGTTTTGCATATTTTTCATATTGTACACAATTTAAAATAACTTTTCAGGAAAAGAAACTGATTACAATGAAATCCTGGATTAAATTGTTTCTGATTGGCTCAGTCCTGCTGGCTGCCGCTAACGCCGTCTACATTCGTAAGTTTGTCTTACAGAAGTAATTTGTTCAGAGTTTGACTGTGTTCAAAAGACAACAAAAGTGATACACTTTGAGATACTTCCCAAGATAAGACTTGTTCCCCTTCATCAGTCTAAATAATAAGGATTGGGAGTCAGTCATTGTAGATATTAGAAGTTTAAATCTGAAATGAAGCCACCTCTCAAACTAAAGAAACTGTCACATCCATCAAACATTATCATCGGTCGATTAAAAAACAAACAAACACTAATAAATTAATCTTTAAAAAAATATAACATTAAAAATGATTTACTTTAACGCGTAAGCTTTACATGCCCAACTCCCCCACCCCCCCGCCAAAAATAAAAAAAATAAATAAATAATAAAATAATAATATTTGTTTACTGTTGTTTTTCTTACTAAAAAAATATAAAATTAAAAATTATTTACTTTAACGCGTAAGCTTTACATGCCCAACCCCCCCCCCCCCCGCCAAAAATAAAAAAAATAAATAAATAATAAAATAATAATATTTGTTTACTGTTGTTTTTCTTACATAAAAAATAATTCAAAACTTTCCGCGATGAAGATTTATATTTGCATCCATCCGTCATCATACTTCGACTTTGTTTTTATTAGCAGCTTTTCGAGTGGTTTAAGACCCCGATACCTGAATGGCCTTCTCGGCTATACACGTTTTAGCTTTTGTTGCTAATGGCTCAGCCTTCTAGTCTGGCTCATGCCTTCTAGTCTGCTCTATGCCTTCTAACCTGGCTCATACCTTGTAGTCTGGCACATTCCTTTCGTTCTGGCTAATGTCTTCCACTTCTGGTCTCTCTGGTGTATTTGTAGCTCCGTCACTGCCATCCAATTTGTAGCTCCGTCACTGCCATCCAATTTGTAGCTCAGTCCCTGCCATCCAATTTGTAGCTCAGTCACTGCCATTCAATTTGTAGCTCAGTCCCTGCCATCCAATTTGTAGCTCAGTCCCTGCCATACAATTTGTAGCTCAGTCCCTGTCATCCGATTTGTAGCTCAGTCACTGCCATCCAATTTTTAGCTTAGTCCCTGCCATCCAATTTGTAGCTCAGTCCCTGCCATACAATTTGTAGCTCAGTCCCTGCCATCCAATTTGTAGCTCAGTCCCTGCCATCCAATTTGTAGCTCAGTCCCTGCCATCCAATCATGTAGCTCAGTCCCTGCCCTCCAATCATGTAGCTCAGTCCCTGCCCTCCAATCATGTAGCTCCGTCCCTGCCGTCCTCTCATGTAGCTCAGTCCCTGCCCTCCAAACACGTAGCTCTATCCAATTTGTAGCTCAGTCCCTGCCATCCAATTTGTAGCTCAGTCCCTGCCATCCAATCATGTAGCTCAGTCCCTGCCATCCAATCATGTAGCTCAGTCCCTGCCATCCAATCATGTAGCTCAGTCCCTGCCGTCCTATCATGTAGCTCAGTCCCTGCCATCCAATCATGTAGCTCAGTCCCTGTCATCCAATCATGTAGCTCAGTCCCTGCCATCCAATCATGTAGCTCAGTCCCTGCCATCCAATCATGTAGCTCAGTCCCTGCCATCCAATCATGTAGCTCAGTCCCTGCCATCCAATCATGTCTCTTTTCCTCCCTGCCAGCTCCCCAAACAAAAGGTCCCCAATAATGGGACCAGTGTCTATAATGTTGACATGCTCCGTCTATCATCTTAGTAATCATCCTAGCTGTCATCCTTGTTATCATCCCAGTTGTCATGTTTTTTTTATACATATCGTAATTTTTTTTTCGGGTGGAAGATAGGCCGGAGGTTGGGGGAGGGGAGGAGGGTCAAGCTTACAAAACACAGTTTCAAAATATTAATTGATTTATTTATTCTGACCATGTCTTGTTGCTACGCCAACATAGATTCTTGGTCCTGCACAGTGGATGGCATCAAGTACAACGACGGCGATATAGTCCCAGTGTCACAGGATCCCGAATGTTGGGTGTGCCGTTGTCACGAGAGCGGAGACAGATCCGGCGTCATGTGCGCCAATGAGTACTGTCCTTCTAAGGGGTAGGTTGTGTATATTGTGTGCGCCAATGAGTACTGTCCTTCTAAGGGGTAGGTTGTGTATATTGTGTGCGCCAATGAGTACTGTCCTTCTAAGGGGTAGGTTGTGTATATTGTGTGTGGCAATGAGTACTGTCCTTCTAAGGGGTAGGTTGTGTATATTGTGTGTGGCAATGAGTACTGTCGTTCTAATGAGTATGTTTAGTACTATCTGTCTAATAGAAGGCGGTGTTTATTGTGTGTGGCAATGCGTACTGTCTTTCTTATGGGTAACTTGTGTTTATTATGAATTTAACTCAGGAATGGGATATTCATGGGTCGGACAAGTTTCTATGATATTTAAAAAAAAACTCATTTAGTTTTCTTTACATTTGTGGCATTTTTTTTGAAACACTTTGAAATTATTATGGGTGGTTTACAGGGGATTTAACTAGTTTCTTCTCTGTGCACGATAAAGAGGTTCACAATGATTTTATATTGAGATAACTGTTATCTACACCTTGTCACTGAGACTTATAAAATGTCCACTAATCTGTTTTATTTTGTTTCAGACCAGGCAAGTAATTGTCATTCACTGATGAAGAAGACAATCTGATAATCGCTTCCCCTTGGGAGCTATTCATAGAGAAAATGTTAATGAACCTCAAAATGTAATCATAAATACTTGTTTAAATTGTGTCTCTGGAATTAAAACTAAAAACTTGTTTATAATGTATGTAAGACCTTAAACATAAAGAGCTGTTTAAATGTGTCTCCAATATTAATCCTAAAGACTCGTTTAAATTGATTCTCTGAATAAAATCTGGAATTATTCATCAATATTATCTCGTTTATTCCGTTTTATTATTTTACCCAACACATCAAAATACACAACAGTACACGCAGTAGTGAGCTTTACGGTTGATGGTATGACCAGAAGATTTGTTTGGGGTATATGTCGGTAAAACATGAGCGCAAATTGGGTGTCAAAATTTTAATGAGAAATTCGAAGTCAATTATCATCATACATAATGATTTTTTGATGCAGTAATGCGCCCATCACTTCACGCATATATTGTTCCTATGCCCTGCGTTTTTGGGTACATATTGACAGATTAGAGCGACTTTTGTTAGTGCAGGTTACAACTAGGGATGTAAGTGGGTCAGGACACACAACCGATGAGAGCGACTTTTGTTAGTGCAGGTTACAACTAGGGATGTAAGTGGGTCAGGACACACAAGGACACCGCCCCTGTACTTTTGTATATAAGCAGTGAGAGACCCTACCCCACATTTGGCAGGAACTGATTCATGTTGTCAACAACATTGAGCCGGGACAAATGAAATATCCCTGCCAACGATGTATTTGATGATCCGAATAGTTAAGCCAAGTCTAGACACACCAAAGGATCCTGAATACCGTATTGTTTATGATAAAGACCAATCCTGATCATATGCCGCAAATTTATTTAACGGTTTTTTCAGATATTAGAGGGTAATTGTTTTATTATTTCAAGTAAATTTGTAATTGGCGATGGCACATAATATTAAAAATACGGAATCATTTGTATTTGCATTGCTATACTAAAAAGGTCTGAGTTATAAAAATTTAATTTGAGCGCTTGAGGTTGTCCTGATTGTTATGATTGTGTGTTTCCCCTTTCTCACATTACGTCACAAAATATCAAACATAAGAGATAAAGCAACACATATAAACTATAAACAACACACAATCACAAAATAACATTAGTCCTTAACAGTGACACACCAGCTTGGGAAGCAATAACACTACCAATGTGTGGCTTTTTAGGTTCGGATGTTCAGACTAATTACCAAAACATTGTGTTCATTCTTTCTTATAAATGAGATGGCGAATACTTATAAAAGTACTTTAATGTAACTATTTAAAATAAATGAGACGCTTGAATCGAGATCAGCATCGGCACGTTACAGTAGTGCAGCAGAGGACGGCCACATGTGTCTACGTCAGCATGAGAGCATAACAGAAGCGCTGCTGAGGACAGCCACATCCGTCTACAGACATTTCTGAGCCGTCACCTTTCTTGGAGGATCAAGACGGTTTTTGTTTTTCTGTCAGCTCTAAAAACATATTAAAAACAAATAAATGAACATATATGAACCATTTTGAAATGCTATTTTTTCATAGAATATTCGAGAATCTCCTCTTGTATTCTGGTCTCTTTTGGTTTAAGAAAATCATGCGTAATAATTCTATTGGATACACAATCTGCTAGAAACAATGGACAGCTGAGACTGGGTAGTGAATATGAAGTTGTCTTGAGACAATAGTAGATGAGAAATGAAGTAGTTTTTTTTTCTCCTTTATTTTTGTAAAGACAAGCAATGTTTCCGTCACTTATTTGTCATTCGTGTATGTATTTATGTTTAATTTATTTAAGTGTCAATTTAAGAGGTTACATACATATATATATATATATATATATATATATATATATATATATATATATATATATACTGATCTCTCAAAATAAAAATATCTTTCTAATATTTTTTGTTTTTTGTGGAGAGTTTTTTGATTTGTGTATATATTTATATTTTAATTATTTATGTGTCAATTTAAGATGTTACATATATATATATATATATATATATATATATATATATATATATATATATATATATACGATGACCTGACCAAATAACAATAACCTTCTAATAATTATTGTTTTGAGCGGAGAGTCAGAGTTTCAGTTGATTAAAAGTTATCGAAACGTTGGAAAAACAAAACGAGAACTGTATCTGCTAAACTAGAAAGACTGTGAGTTTTTTTAACGACAGTTAGTTTTGTTTGATTTATAACCAGAATTAACATTTTAAATTTCTTCTTCTTCTTCTTCTTCAAAAAAAAAAAAAAAAAAAATATATATATATATATATATATAGCCAATTTGGATTACAAGGGAATCCGGGATATTGTTGGGATCCACCTGAAACAACTGAAACTTCCCCTTCTGAGTGAACTGGTTGAATGCAGTGAATTTGACGTCGTTCTCCCTATGGGAGTAGCACTGTTGTGAACAGGCCAAGACGCCATCACCATTTACATCCGGTTCAATTTCATGCGAAAAGATGTTGCCGTGTAGTAAACATCGCTGACGCACTCTTCCAATTCAAAATATGAAGGTACTCCTGCGCGAACCTGCAAATAAAAATATTTCGTTTAGATTAGCCAACGCTACTTTTTTTTCAGTATCAGCAGTTAAAAAAAATGTATTTCTAGTGATAACGCACATAACAACAACTATACCGTTGGTGTAAGAAAAAGAACTGTAACAGCGTGAATGTTTAGTGTTTCACAATGACACCAATCGATGTGGTAGCAACGTTTAAATAATGATTTATTGTCATTCTTGAGTTGCTAATGCCAACAAAGAAGTCACGAGTTGAAGTACTTCTGGGCGAATGGCTGGTTTAAGTACTTCTGGGCGAATGGCTGGATTAAGTACTTCTGGGCGAATGGCTAGTTTAAGTACCTCTGGGCGAATGGCTAGTTTAAGTACTTCTGGGCGAATGGCTGGTTTAAGTACTTCTGGGCGAATGGCTGGTTTAAGTACTTCTGGGCGAATGGCTGGTTTAAGTACTTCTGGGCGAATTGCTAGTTTAAGTACTTCTGGGCGAATGGCTAGTTTAAGTACTTCTGGGCGAATGGCTAGTTTAAGTACTTCCGGGCGAATGGCTGGTTTAAGTACTTCTGGGCGAATGGCTAGTTTAAGTACTTCTGGGCGAATGGCTAGTTTAAGTACTTCTGGGCGAATGGCTGGTTTAAGTATTTCTGGGCGAATGGTTTATCTTTCCACACAGTTCAATACACTTAGGTAGGGTTACCAGAAGTCCTTATTTAGTAAGGACATTTTGTATTCCCTTGTCCGTACTAATTGTTGCGTCCGTGTATGTCCGTACTTTCCTCTCGTCACCCGGCTCGTCCGTACTTTTGGCGGCGACGACTTGCATGTCTTATTTCTATTTGTCTTACCTTATTTCTCCGCAAAGGCAAGCGCAGTGCATGGTTTCAGCTCCACGTGACAGTCCAAAACTAGCATGTTTTATATCTCCAATGCTGTAAAAGTACCACGCAATGTTATGTAGGAATTATCGTCATAATGTTGCCCTTTCTTTTCACAAATGAGCTAGCGAGATATCGCTTCATTAGTACTCAGTAGTAGTAGCAGCATTACAGTAATATTTCGTCCATCGTATCTTCAGTGTGCTAGTTAAGTGTTTCCTATAATGTTTCTATTCCTGGTGCTTGTGCCAATTTTAGGTTTTCGCCATTCTTTTGCTGCCTCCTCGGATACTACTTTTAAGCTGAATGTTATTTTTATGTTATTCTGTTTTTACTGTTGTTTGTTCGCTATGGAGGAAAGCAGAAAAATGGTGTCACTTAATAGATAGAAAAAGTCCCCTCCGGGTGGTTCAGTTTAAAAAAAAATATTTTGCCCCCCCCCCCTTTTTTTTTTCCATTTCTTTCTGAAGTAAATTTGTTCGCATGAATCTTGGGATATGGAAATTCTTTCACGAATTCTAGTTGCTATTGCTGCCGTTGAATCTCAACATTTTAAAGCAGAAAATTGGTGTCACTTAATAGATAGAAAAAGTCCCCTCCGGGTGGTTCAGTTTAAAAAAAAATATTTTGCCCCCCCCCTTTTTTTTTTCCATTTCTTTCTGAAGTAAATTTGTTCGCATGAATCTTGGGATATGGAAATTCTTTCACGAATTCTAGTTGCTATTGCTGCCGTTGAATCTCAACATTTTGTTTGACAAGAAATTCGAAAATTTAATCCCAGACTTCATGATGTTCATGGAAACAGCCTCGAAGCATACTATATTTCATCCCAGATTTGTAAAGAGGAATTGATTGTGGATTAAACAGCTCCTAAAAACAAAGTTTTTCTTATAAAAATCCTTTGTAAAATGTAATATCGAGCAATGGGGATTGGGCTGAAAGTTCAACAAAACATGCGTGCAAATAATGCACTTTATAAGAATCCCAATAAGTGACCCCCCCCCCCTCCACTTTCCCAGGCTCGCAAAAACTTCATATTTTTCACAACCCTGAATTATATTAATATTTTAATGACCTATCTGCTTTTACACCACAGATCTAAAAAAGAAGAGATACGTACTTTATGTCCAAGCATGCACAAATTGTTTGCAACTATTGTCACTTTGAAAATAGAATCTAAAAAAAAAATTGTTCTCTAACCTGACTTAACATGAACTATCTGATTAATAACTACATGTATGGACCAATATCTCTAAAATTCTACAACGTGGCCATGTCATTACTGAGTGCTCGAAGATTATAACAATTTTTCGGGCGTGGTACTGCAGCTGACGATCTTTTAACTGAACTTAATAATTACCGTCCCTACAATTTAAAAATGACTTCACGAAAATGTTACCCAATTTTAGTCCAAGGCCACTATACGAAGTTGCTGCTTACCGACCACAACAGCTGTTAGCGATTAAGGTATGTGTCACTTTCATATTGTGTTGTTTAAAGATTGAAGTTTTATACACATAACTTTCTTGAAATTCAATTCAGTGTCAATATATTTTGTGGAGAAAAATTTTTTTAATTAATTTATTTTCTTTGGCACTGAATTTTATTTTTTAAATAATTTAAATTAAATTTGAAATCTTTATAGATATAATTTTGGTCATGTAATTATTTGTTCTAAAAATTGTATACAAAACTTGTCTATGTAACCGCCAGGGGTCGGGAACCTTTTTGTCTGAGAGAGCAATGGACACCACATGTTTTGAAAAGTAATTCTGTGATAGCCACATAGTATGTTTA